GTCAATATTCCTGCTCTTACCCCCCCCTGCCATATACACACTCTGGGCATGTTTACACTAGTTGGCTAATTTGAGCTAGGTAGGCAAACGAGGCGACCGGAGTTGCAAATGAAGCCCGGGATTTAAATATCCCGGGCTTTATTTGCATGTTCCCATCCGGTCGCCATTTTGAAATTTCACTAGCCCGAACTCACTGCTGCGTGGCTACACGCGGTAGTGAAACGTTAAGTCCTTAGTTCGAGTTAACGTTTGACTGCCGCTTGTAGCCACGGGCAGTTAGTTCGGACTAAGGGGATTTAAAAATGGCGCCCGGACAGGAAGATGCAAATAAAGCCCGGGATATTTAAATCCCGGGCTTCATTTGCAACTCCAGTCGCCTCATTTGCCTACCTAGCTTGAATTAACGAGCTAGGGTAGACATACCCTAAGGTGCCACAGGACTGCTCATTGTTTTTGATAATATGAATGTTTCTGAAGAACAATTATATCTTTGCAAACTGCACTGCCCTGGCAGGTAAAAGCTCTGTGTTAAGGGACCACATTGCCTATTGCCTGAGTCATTGTCTGCTTTAGCTGGGGAGTCAAAACCACCAGCTCCTGTTAGTTATTTTTATTCTGAAACATAGAAAGAGTAAAAGGGCCTGCCCTCCCCCCATGATAGTGTTGCTACTCTCGGGAACAGTCTTGGGTTATAAGATTCCCAACTTCAGAAGACTTTGATTTCCCAGCTGGGGGGGGAGGAGGGAGGCTAAAATAGTTCTGTGGGCCCTGATTTTTCCTGTTTTGGAGAATGCCCAAGACCAGCAGAAGCTGGGATTGACAAGAGTTTCTCCAGTGGCTTGGCCACTATTAGGCTACGTCTACACTGGCATGATTTTCCGGAAATGCTTTTAACGGAAAAGTTTTCTGTTAAAAGCATTTTTGGAAAAGTGCGTCTAGATTGGCAGGATGCTTTTCCGCAAAAGCACTTTTTGCGGAAAAGTGTCCGTGTAAAAGCCTTTGCGGAAAAGAGCGTCTAGATTGGCAGGACACTTTTTCGCAAAAGCACTTTTTGCGGAAAAGTGTCCGTGGCCAATCCAGACACGCTTTTCCGCAAAAAAGCCCCGATCGCCATTTTCGCCATCGGGGCTTTTTTGCGGAAAACAGTACTGTGCTGTCTACACTGGCCTTTTTGCACAAAAGTCTTTCGGAAAAAGACTTTTGCACGAACGGGAGCAGCATAGTATTTCCGGAAAAGCACTGACAATCTTACATGAGATCGTCAGTGCTTTTCCGGAAATTCAAGCGGCCAGTGTAGACAGCTGGCAAGTTTTTCCGGAAAAGCGGCTGATTTTCCAGAAAAACTTGCCAGTCTAGACACAGTCTTACAAATTAAAGCTTTGGCAAGGACTTGACAGCAGTCTTTTTCCTTTCATCACATGATACTGTAATTCAGGGCTCACTCAAACTATATTTCAATCAGCAGTGAGTGACAATCACAATTGATTGGAGCAAATTCAAACGTGCTGAAATAAGTTAACCTATTCCTGAGAAGTCTGCTGGAAGTGACTTTAACATCTGTTTAGTTAGGTTTCGATCACATAATGAGTCAAGTGAGTGAATCAAGGAAGTGAATCAACACTGAACTGGGTTTTGCAAGAGTTGAGAAGAATGAATTCAAGAAAGATCCCCATTGTCTGAGCCTTTTGTGCATAGCTCCAGCTGGCTCCTCTCTTTAAATATTTACCCCGCTCTTTTGTTCAGATGTAATTTACACACTTTGGCCCAATTCATTGATAGAACATGCAGCCCTTACAGAAGTTTTAGTGAGTTTAATGTACAAAAACTGAAATGTACCCAAAATAATATTGTTCTGGGTTATCACATTCATCAGCTACCTACAGCTAGCTGCACTGAACTCCAAGCGGTCCACTGAAGGGGTTCAGTTACAAATAAGAATGGCTGGTTTCAAATGGCAGAGTACTATTATTTTATATACAGCACCACACATGCATGACTTTACAACATGATAAGTGCCCTGCCTATAAAAGTTTAGAGTTTAAATGAGAAAAATCATAGCTCACTGGTTAATGATCAGGAGAGAGGAGGTTGGTACTGTTGACATGGGACAAGAGAGCAACATTTTCAAAACTGTCCACCAGCATGGAGTGCCTGCATTTTTGGGAGCCCAGCTGGAGACCTGGAGTATGCTTTTCAAAGGTGCTGAGCATAGGCGGGACCCATTAACAAAAGTTAGAGACATTATTCTGAGATTTGAGGTAGGAGAAGGTTGCTCAGTATATGAGAAAAAAGTTTAAAAGTGGGATGGTCTAAATTATGTAAAAGTGATCTGAAAAACTTTCAGAAAAAAGAAACGAGGCTCTCAAATCACTAAAGAGGTAGAAACTGATACTGAAATCAGTGCAAGAATTCAGCTGCACACGCTACATACATACTAAAATACATTGTCTAACTTGCAATTGTGGGCTTCTTTTGACTAGTGCACATGCCCCCTCTAGTGTCTATGCCACAACACGGTTACAAAACCAAGAATCAAGTTACAAGCCATTGGGACAATCACAAACAAGTGACACAACCCCAGTGGATACACCAAGCTTTTATTTATTGCTGTCTGGGCCAGCCAGCTCTGCTGCTGCAGCATTTACAGCTACACACATTAATGCACTGCCTCTGCAGCAGAAAGCTTCTGTCACAACGACATTACAGCAAAACAGTGGGCCCACAGCTAATCTCACCTGTAAATCTTGAGTAATGTCTAACTCCAGAGAGACATTACCCAAGTCAAAGTTACATGAAGAAAGAGTATAAATGAGATGATTATTTGGGCTGTTATAGTGGGATACCATTTGTAAAGAGAGATTTCTTCTTAATAAACAATTAGTTAAGAGTCTGCCACTTTGATACTGGTTTTCATACAATTTGGGGACCTGAAGATAAATTCTTCCCTGCATTTTCTGTTGCACGCAGCAGTGATTTTCAAGGGATGGGTCGGGATCCAGCACTGGGTGGTGGAATGTCAGGCACTGAGTGTCCTTGCTGCAGGGGGATCAGGTGAGTGGTGGGGGCGGGGGGGGGGGGGGGGACGGGCAGCTTTTTCTGTTGCACGCAGCAGTGATTTTCAAGGGATGGGTCGGGATCCAGCACTGGGTGGTGGAATGTCAGGCACTGAGTGTCCTTGCTGCAGGGGGATCAGGTGAGTGGTGGGGGTGGGGGGG